TAATTACTAAATATGTAAATTCGTGATTCAACCAAGTGTTCTTAGGGCGCCCTCTAACCCTTCTAAAACATACGTCAGGCTGTATTATTCAATTTGAGGAGATAATATTAATGTGATGATTGATAGCTAGTTGACCTTTTTTATTAGTGTTACACATAGAGATAATTCATTGGTCGAATAAATTTAGTACGTAAATTAGTTACGTAAAAACTCAGAAGTGAACCAGTTTATTAATTAGTTCGTCTCGTTACGAAATATAATCGTTAGATTAACATTCTTTAATGTACCAAAAAAAAAAGATTAACATTCTTTGACGGTTACATGATGATCTAACGGTTACAAATCCCGATGAAATGGTTCTGTAACGGGAACTTATCATTTCCCTATACTTTAATCACACTTTAAAGTGAACATCGTGTCCTTCTTATCTATATTATTTAGCTCCAACAATTTTAATGCATAGTTAGAATTGTATAAATGTAAAGTTATACTTCTTAGTTCTTACAAAGTGTTAGAATTTTGTTTTTGTTATGTATAAGTGGAATTTACCACTAATATTAATAATATTATCACTTGTATTATTGTATTGAAATGTGTGATTTTATTGAAGTGTGTGCTAGTGAAATGTGATAAGCTAATGGCCTTGAAATTTGTCTATAAAAGGGGCCAATAGGCATTGTAATTCTTGCACGGAAAAGAAGTGAAAAGAAAGAACAGTTTGAGTTATATCCGGTTTTTATACATTGTGTTCTTTATATTCCCAGTATTTTATAACACGTTATCAGCACGAACGCTCTACCCGGTCAAGAAAGGTAGGATATATATACATATTACCATTATTCTTGACAAGTTAGGCTCTGCCACAGTCAAGGATATATATACATATTACTATTATTTTTGACAAGTTAGGCTCTGCCACAGTAAAAAATATATATATATTACTATTATTCTTGACAAGTTAGGCTCTGCCACAGTCAAGATATGTATACTAAATATGATATTATATACACATTACCATTATTATTGGCAAATTAGGCTATGTCATAGCCAATAATATGTGGTGATATAATATTATTAAATTTGCTTATGAATTATTTTTCAAGTTGTAATAAATGTTATTATTTATACTTAACACCCATAAAAATGGTTTACCCAGTAATGTGGCGTGAAATTTATAACTGTTTATTCTTGTACTTACCATAAAATTTATCAAATAATGTGGAGCATTTTTTTTACTTGTTTTGTTATATTCGCAAAAATATTCATCAAATAATTCGAAAAATTTTTAAGGTAATATACATGATTAATTAGAATTTTATGATCATAAATGATTAATTAGCAAATATTATATCATTAAATTTGATTCCAACGGCTACTTAACGGCTATATTGCAACGGCTATTTACCAATATCTATATATAACACTACAATTCATTTTCATAATACAAACACTCAAAATATATTGTTTTAAGAAAAAAAAAAATGTTTGATCCATTACTTATAATTACCATTATCTTGTTTATTATATATGTTTTCCAAATTTTCAAAATGATGTATCGTACTGTTGGATTTAAATTTTATGTATTAGGCCTTTGTATAATGTGTTTAGTATTTGCTATTGTGTACGTCTTGAAGAATTAATGATTGTATATGTAATTTTTTTTCGAATCTCAGCATTGATGTTTTATTTTATAGTTATCATGGCAAATCTGGTCAAACTCGAATTCGAAGCTCTCGATATCTCTAGGAAAAATTATATCTCATGGACATTGGATGCCGAAATTCATTTGGCGGCAAGGGGATTGAAAAAAGCAATAATATCCCCAAATGATTCATCAATACAGGAAAAAGCTAAAGCAATGATATTTCTGAGTCATCATTTGAATGAGGCTTTGAAAAATGAATATTTAACTGTTAAAGATCCTGCGGATCTATGGAAAGCCTTGAAAGAAAAGTATGATCACCAGAAAACGGTGATTCTCCTCCGGGCTCGTTACGAATGGATGCATTTACGCTTCCAAGATTTCAAAACTGTTAACGAGTACAATTCGGCCATGTTCCGCATTTGTTCGGTATTGAAATTATGCGGAGAAAA